CCACTCTGAGCTCACGTATGGCAGGAAACAAAAGGAGAGAGCATCCCAGGAGGCAGAGAAATTATTCCAAGAGCACTTCTGCCTCCATCTCACCTCCGGCCAGCACCTGCACATTCTTGCAGAAGGACTGCAAATGTGTTAGCTCTTTAGAGCACATACTAGGCTTTCTGAATAGGTCCACCTTAGCCCTGCTGACAGCTCTGAAAGGAGACTGAGGTTCAGCCATGAAGAGCCTCACTGTGAGCAGAACAGAGTTAGTGAGGGCAAGCCCTTCTCCCAGCTTCCCTGCTGCACAGTGCTGCAACACCACTCACCTCTCTCCTTCTTCGTTGCTTTCTTTTATTTTCTGTTATCCTTTTATTTTCTGTTACATTTTCTCTTTTGCTCTCTTCAACCCAATTTTTGTGGAATTTGGACCTTAAAAATAAAAAGTATAGTGTTATAGCAAAAAAGACCTTGGATCACCCTATCCAGAGAATGCCCAGCCCTGGCAAAATCACTGAAGAGGTTTAAAAACAAAACAAAACAGACTCCTAGCCCCCATCTTAGACCTAGAGAAGTAAACAACTGATGGGGTAAGGAATCAGGTGGAGGGGAGCTAAGGGGGGAAAAAAGAGGAACACCTGTAATAATTTGAACAATAAAGATTTATTATATAAAAAATTAAAAATAAATAAATAAATGTAATGTGGTCTCCTGAAAAAAAAAAAAAAAAAGGAAGTAAACAACTGTTGCTTTTGGCCCTACCCTGCCAACCATCTTGTGGCAGCCATCTTGTGATGACATCACACATGATGCCACCTAGGCTTTAATTATATATATAGGTTTATTATTACTAGGAGGAGTAAGAGTAATGGGAGCAGTATCGCTAGCATTTACTAAGTGTTTATTCTGTGTTAGGTACTATTCTAAGTTCTCTTTATACATTACTTTATTGAATTGTCTGAAAAAGCCTTTCAGGTGGATTTCTAGTATCCCCCATTATGATGAAAAACCTGAACCCAGAGAAGCCAAATAATTTTCCCAATGTCACACATCTAGTAAGTTAAGTAGCAAAATTAAAATTTAAACCCAGAATCTGCTGCAGAGTTCTAGTTCACGATTATTATGCTTTGTTGATTTAATTAATGTATCCAGGGTGACCAAGCTACTGAATGGCAGTTGCAGAATTTGGGCCTAGGTTGGTCTGAGTCCAGGATTTGTGCTCCTTAACCACTATCTTCTACTTCCTCTCTGGGATTGATTGGCGGGCAGTTCATGGTAGTCCACATTAATGGTTCCCCTAAGGTTATGCAATATAGTATTTGCATGTATTTCAGTCACAATTCTCTTATTATGAGTAAAAATGGAGTGCCCTGACTTTTAGAGAATATAAACAATATAAATGGAGCTACTTTAAAAAAATGGAGCCAGAGCTGCCATGCCAGAGGAACTGCCTTGCACATTTAATACCTCAAACCTTGGAATGTTAAAAACAGGGCAAAAATCACTTTTAGACTGGGCCTAAGCAACCTTATTTCCCCAAGTACTATTTGCAAAGCTAACGAGAAAGCAGTTATTGTGACTAATGGACTGAAAATTTAAAAAAACATTGTTTAGAATTAACATCACTATGTTATCTAATGTGCACCAATAGAAATGCCTTCCTTGTATTGATGTAATTGTTCCCTTTTCCCTTCTTATAAATGCCCGTTGCCTTTGTCTACTAATCAGAACATTATTTGGACTTCTGCCTGAATGAATGATTCCAAGCTAGTTATTCTTTGATCTCAAATAAACTTTTGCTGGTCTTTCCTTTTGAAAGTCCTTTTTATTTTCAGGTTAGCGAGAGGAGCAGTCAGGTGTAATAAAAAACAAGACTCATTGAGCCAAATACTGAAACCAAGTTACAAGTGCTTGCCTATTGTGTCGATTTGGGTACTGCAGGAAGCAGAAGCCAAGATGGAAGTAAGTATAAGAGATTTATTGAGGGGAAACACCTATGAAGGATTAAAGGAAAAGGGAACAAGAGTAGGTGGGGAGAGCCTCAGACAACAAGGAAGTTCTGACATCTGTGAAGGGAGAAAGGGAAGGCAGGAAGCCTCGTTAGGAAATCTGGGCCAGGTTGATGGGGAGTCCAGGACAATGCTTGCTTAAAAGAGGAGTCTGGCCTTGGGCAGAAATGGTTCAGCTCCCGTACACCTTACTTAGTCATTGCCTGGTTGTAGCCCAGTGATAGCATGGACCTGATATAAATGCTGTGCCTGATTCCCAAGAAGAGGCTGCCAAGAGCTGTTGGCCATCCACACTCCTCACACTGATTTTCTTGAAAAGTGAGCTGGGCGGTGCTTTCCCAGGAGTGCCACACCTGTGTGCTATGAATTAAACTCCCCTGAAGGAAACACCAAGGAGCCCACTACATGAGATCAGCAGTCAGTGTCTATAACTGCCTCCCATATCAACACAGCCCAGTACAATTGCTTCCAAATTTGCATTGGTTTGGGCTTATTAAAAGTGTCAGCTCATTGAGTTAAAGATATGTTTTCCTGAAGAGGGATGGGTGAGGCATTTCCCCACTTATTTTTCTACTATGGCCACATTTAAATTGCTATAAAGAAGTTATTGTGGATACTGCTCCCAAACTTGAAAGATAAGAGGTAAAAATGGAATACTTTGTTGACATGCAAAATTATTAATTTTGTGACCAATTTTTAACAAACTCTCATGGTCTGGTTCTTCTGAAACCATTAGGGGCTCTCTTGAATCAAGGTGGACAGGCAAGTGTTTTGGTGTTACATGCTAGTAGCCCTGGACAACCTTGAGAATACCACTAGTGACAATCATGGAATGAGTCTAGGCACTTGGTGTTTTGTTGTTGTTGTTTTTTGGAACAAGCAGAGTAGACAGTGACATTGTAATCTCTGGTTAAATCTGGCGAAGCTGATTGCAAACTGCTATGCACCTGCAAACAGGTCCAGGCTGGGAAAGTGGTTATTTTTATGCCCTGCCCATTCTGCTGATGTACTCTCACCTGATTGTTTGAAGATTAACTTGCTGATCTCTTATTTATGCAAAGCAGTTTCCCTATCTCCTCTTGCCACATTCTATCCTTTGAATCTTGGGCTGGATAGTCCTTTTGACAGAAAACTTATTTGAAAAACTTCTACCTATCTCTGCTCATCTTTACCTGCCTCTTCCACCATCTCTCCAACTCACTTCGTCTGCCCAAGGACTCTTTCTATCTCAACAAAGCTCTGAAATAGCTCTGTCATGATTTCTGCTTTTGGTGCTTTTCTGCCTGGCAATGCTTTCAACTTGCTTCTCTCAGGCCTTAATCCCAAAGCCTTATTGAAACACTTTTCAAAGCTGCTTCCAGTAATTAAGTGGATACAACAAGAAGAGGTGACTTGACTTGAGGAATGAGAGGTCAGAAGTTTTGAGTTCCTGATTTGGGATCCTTGTTACCTCGCTTTCTGATGAGCAGCATTTCACTTTTCCTTTGTGAATCAGTCTTTGTCGGTTACCTTCACCAGTAATTGTTTTATTGCAGATCTTTCTTGTATGGTCAGCTCCAAGTTATCATTCAAGTTTCAGCTTAAATATAATGTCCTCAAATAGGCCTTAAATATTTCCTAGTGTCATTTTTCTCTAACATCATTCTCTGTAATATTATCATCTGTCTTCTTCAAGCACTTTCTATCTGCAAGTGTCTTTTAAAAAAAAAAAAAAGATTTTTAATTGATTTTTAGAGAGAGAAGGGAGGGGATATGAGAGGGAAACATGATTGGCTGTCTCCTGTATGCCCCCTACTGGGGATGGTGCCTGCAACCCTGGCATGTGCCCTGACCAGGAATCAAACTAGCAACGTCTTGGTGCATGGGATGATGCTCAATCCACTGAGCCACACTTTCAGTACACAGGACAACACCCTACCACACTGGCCAGGGCTATCTGCAATTGTCTTAATGTTTCCTTGATTATTTTGTTTCCTCCTAAGAGCTATAAGACCCAAGAGAGCTGGGGCTTGTCTGTCTTGTCCCCATCTATTATATATTCCCCACTCCTGGCATAGAGAAGATGCTCAATAAATATGTGTAGAATGAAAAGAACTGTAAAACTTAAGCAGTTGGACCAAACGATCTTTAAGGGTATTTACAGCTTTAAGATGAACATTGTCAAAAATATGTAAGTGAAAAATGAAATTACAACAACTATTGCAATAAAATACTGAATACATACAGTGTGTGTGTCTACTTATGCTGCCAAGTTCTTGGATGTGTCATAGTACTGGTTTTCGACCGTTTGCAATGGAGTGTGAAGTGAGTTTCTGAGCTTCATAAAAAAGTATCTAACAAATATATCAGGTAGCTATCTAAATAGTAAACCGCCGTATCATAGAATTAGAGTGGAATCGTTTTACATTACAACTTCTTCAATTTACAGGGATGGAAACTACGGCCTAGAGAAGGAAGCATGTTTGGGCACTTGGAACCAAATACAGGGCTGCTTGTCAGTGAGGAACTCATACACCACTCCCACTTCCGTATAATCATTATTAATAGCATAGCAATATTTCACGGTTGAACCAGTGGTTCTGCAACTTGAGCGTGGAGGATGTGTTGAAGCACAGATTGCTGGGCCCCACCCACAGAGTTTCCGATTTTCTGTAGGGCCGGAGGGGTGCGGGAACCCGGAAAGTTTAAGATCCACTGTACCCACCTTCACACACCTACTCTCAGTTTAAAGGCTCCGCGTGGCGCGCAGAGAACTACGAATCCCGGCGTGCCCCGCGCACAGTGGGAGGGGCGTCGGGCACTTCCGCCCCACGCAGCGCCGCTGCCCCGCGTCTCGACGTGTCACCGGCAGCGCCGCGGCTGGGGCTGGAGCTGGAGCCGGAGCGGACTGGGGAGTTCTAGGCGGCGGCAGCGGCGCGTCCGGCCCGGATCTGCCCCGGTGCGGAAGTGTCCCGGGGTCCGTGGGGAGCAGGAGAGGGCGGCGCGGCCCGGCCCGCGCGCGGCACGATGTTGAACATGTGGAAGGTGCGGGAGCTGGTGGACAAAGCGTGAGTATCGGGGGGCAGTTGTGGCCAGGCCCACGCGGGGGAGGGGGAAGGTGAGGGGAGCTGGCCCTGTGCACGGCGACCCGTGTCACGCCCCCCCCCCCCCCCCCCCCGCCCAGCCCGGCCATCATGGCGGCGGCCCGCTCGCTCCGGGGGCCCAGTCCTCCTCCCGATCGGCGAGGCTGGGAAGGGACTCTTCCTCCTGGCCCCCTCCACCCCGTCCGGGCCTCCTTCCCGGTCCCTACCCCCGCCCTCCTAGGCGCAGACCCTTTGGCCAGGGAAGGGGGCGGGGCTGGCGGAGCGGGTCAGTGCCCCGGCGGCGGAGGACCGCCTTGGCCGCAGGCTCTGCCTCCTGGGCTGCGGGGGAGGCTGGAGGGTGGAGGACGCAGTGCTCCAGCCCTGTGTCCCGCGGGGTGCGGTGCAGAGTCCTTACGCCTGGTCGGGATAGATCCTTCACCTTGCTGGGTTTCTTTTGCTTCCTGATGAGCCTGCAGGTGGAGTGGGTGATAGGTGTAACAAGTGGCCATTGTGGTCAGGCTGGAGGAGTTAAAATCGAGAGGGGACTCATCCTTCCTTTTCTAGCACCAGTGAAAGTGGCTCACCACATAACTTCTTGTGATTCTTTTCCTGTTTCAACACTACAGTTTTGGAGGGCTCCTTGTTTCATAAGGTTTAATTAACGAGTCATTAAGAGATTTCCCCTTAAAAAAAAAAAAAATAGAAAACAGCCCAGGTTTATATGTTGTTGATCTGCTTTAACTTCCCTGACAGGTAAAATGACTAATACTTGGTTGATTTCCAGTAAGACGTAAATGATAACTTTAGTATCTTACTACACTGAGAAAACTTGAACATTTAGATTGATTATATCAGTTATAACAGGGCATAAGTCAGACCTTCTAGGCAGGAAATAAAGTTAAAGAATTTAACCAGTCTCTTCCTTTTGGGTATGCGGTAAGTGTGGTGACAAACAGTTCATTTGTGTCACCCATCCCAACTAAAATTAGGAAGTGTAGGTGGCAAACTGTTAGGCTTCCTGACTCCAGAAAAAATTATTCACATTGGCTGTGATAGTACATCAGGTTCCTGAGGTTTACTTCAGGAAGAAAAATAGACTCTTCCAAAAACATAGAACTTAGAGTTTGACCAATTTTCTATGCTACCAAGAAGGCATACTGATCACCTAAACAGCATAGTTTTTAAGAGTTGGTTCAATCGCTGTAAACCTGACAAGTTAATTCACCTCAAGTGCCCCAGTGTTGTCAGGTGCAGTATGAAAATAAGGATAGATTCTTACCTTAGAATGCTAGAATTAAGGTCTAAGAGATTAGATAACGCAGTATGTTTAGATCAGTATATTTTTGATAACTATAGCAACTGTTCTGCATTGAGAATGATAAGCCCTATGTTTGAAAAGTGATTTGCTTTAATAATTTTCATTTATCAACTATTCATTTGACCATTAAATGGGCTTATTTTGCTGTTTATGTACTTGCTTTCCAAAGATAAAATACTGTTTCTTTTCCAGATCCAGGTTCATTGGTTGTTTTTTCATATGTGGTGTAAAGACTAGGGTTTAGCTTAGACAGTTTTTAAAAGTCCAGAAGTTTCTAAGAAGGAGAACAGGGAAAAAGCCCCACTAAAAAACACCTTGTTATCTTAGAGGATTAAATTTATGGTACTCAAAAAATTTGAAGAGGCTGTACATTTTTCAGGAGATAGAAATCAAGATGATATTCCTGCTGCTGGTGTTCATTGTATGTTTCATCACCTGCCTTACTAATCTTCCAGTGCTTTAAGTTAAATTTGCCACATAATAGAGGAGCTATTGTTGAAAAATAACTTCTACCTTTGTAAGACCCAATTTAGAACGGAGACTTGAACCAAGTTATTCAAGAACTTGTAAGAATGTTGCCACCAAGAGCTTTTGAAAGCTTTTGTGGGTGTCTGACACATAATGTTAAGTTTAGAACATAATGTTATTGATGAATACTGGAGATTTAATTTTCATCTTTCCCTGGCAGGAGAGAAGTTCTTCCCCAGAAATGTAAGCATCTTACAGAACCAATACTTGTGGCACTGTCCAGTTAGACTGTTCACCTTAAAATGCTATTAATGGAGGTGAAATGGATCCATAGAATAGCCGCTCTGATTAGCAAGGAGATAAGGTGATCAGGAAACTTGCAAATGAGGAAACAATGAAGTGATTAAGGACTGCTCTGAGAACTCAGATTCATAGAATGAAGGCTTACCTAGAAAGGACATTGGTTTGGGGCTTGGGACACTCAGTTCAGATTCTGTCACTGGCTTTTAGATTAGTTATATGTATGATTTGAGGCAGAATCACATGACTCTTCAAACCTTATCTGAAAAATGAGGGATTGGCTTAGAGTAGGACTTTTTTCAACTTTGCTATTAGGAGACATGAATTTCCACCACACGAAAAAACTGGTACTAGTATTTCATAATAGCAGATAAATTTTGGAAAGTCATTATCCTCTTGAGACAGTTTTGGCTAAATAAGGTCATTTAAAAAAAAAGAGTGGTGATCAATAAATATTCTATGTAAATGCTTTATGCAGTAAGTAAGTGCAACATATGACTCAGGAAAACTAGGACTTTTATTTAGTGTATATCCTTACCCAATGAGGTCTACTTCAGGAAGAAAAATGTACTCTTTCAAAATGTGTTTCCTGGAGCTACTACTGTTTGATCCAATATGGTGGCAGTTCTTAAGTGTAATGATATATTTCAAATACTGGCTTTTGAGACCTTTAAGACTTACAGAAGGTGTGGAGATATTTTCCACGATTGTGGCACCTCCTGGTGGAATTAAATGTTCTGTTCTGCAGAACATTGTAGAACTGCGGAAAAGCAGATAAAGCTATAAATCGGCAGAACTTGGAATGCCAGTTTCCTCCCATTTGTACTCAAGTTGCACAAAAGGCAGCTGTGGCAGGAAAGGATAAGTGGTGCCACTCCCACCAACTAGAATTAGCTTGACCATTGCTATCCTGTGGCCTGCCTCCCTTTATTTGAGGTTGTAATAAAATTGGATACTTTTATATCTTGTCATGCCATTCATGGTATAAATTGAAAGTTGCTGTAGTTTTGTTTTGTGTGTTTTTTTCAAATTTTGGAAACGGTGACATGGTATAGTGGTAGATCAAAACTGCTACTTTTTGTTCAAGCCTGGCTAATCCTTTTGTTTCATCTTAGGGGTAATATTAATTAACTAGAGGCTCGGTGCACAAATCCATGCATGAGTGGGGTCGCTTGGGGTGGCCTGCGGGAACAGGGCCCCAGCTCATGCCCCCAGCCTGGCACCTTACCATGGCCTGGCACTGTCCCCTCACCTGTTCTACCATCCTGCCTGCAGGATGATCAGTTGATGCTGAGCCCCTCTCCCATCCCCCCCCCCCACACACACACACCACCACCACTGGTCGTGGCCGTCTGCAGGGTGATCAGCAGTGCAATTGGGTCCCTACTCACATCTGCCTTAGCCTGGCTCTGCCTGCTCACCTGCTCCACCATATTGCCACAGTCCAGCTCTCTTCGGAACCCATTGGGGTCAGCAGTGCCTTCACTGCCAGCCGCCATGTTCCATGCCGCCACCTGGTGGTCATAACAAGCGGTCAAACTACTGGTCAAACAATTTTCATATTAGGCTTTTATTATATAGGACTAGAGGCCTGATGCACAAAATTCGTGCAAGGGGCTTGGCCCTCACAGCTTGGCCTTTGCAGCCATTGTGGCTTGCCTCAGCCCTTGCAGCCCCAGCTTTGTCCAGGAGGTTATCCGGCTGTCTGGTCTAATTAGCATCTTATGCTTTTATTACTATAGATGGTAAATCTATTTCAACAGTGGCTCTTGTTATGATAGTGATTTCAATAGCGCTGGCCAAGGTCCTAAGGCAACTGCTACAGATAGTCCATTTGAAGTTATTCTCTTAAGCATAGTTTGCATTTTCTGTCGGTAAGTTGTTGTTTTTTGGTGTTATGTGCAAGTTTTTAGTTCTTAAGTGTTAAATAACGTAATAGAGCTGTAGAAATTACTGTTCATCAGGCTGTCCCCAGAGAGAGAACCTTTTGCTTTTATAGAAAACTAGAGGCCCGGTGCATGAATTCGTGCATGGGCCGGCGAGGGTGAGGGCCTGCAAGCAGTTGGCTGGCCAGCCCCACCCCTGATTGGGTTGGGAAGGCCAACCAGGCAGGAAGGGGTGGGGAGTTGGTGGGGAAGGGTCCACAGGCTGTTGGCAAGCTGGCCCCATCTCTGATCGGGGACGGGGCTGGCGGGGGAGGGGGGTCCCCCCAAACGGTGGTCATGGACAGTTGGCAGTTGGCTCCACCCCCTAGTCAAACTCCAGGTCGAACAGGGGACAATTTGCACATTAGCCTTTTATTATATAGGATAGTTCAATCATTTCAACAAATAGAACATTTGCTGTTTATTGGATTAGTGCTGTATTTTGTGAACTTGTAAAGTAAAGTATCTGCCTTAAAGAAACTTGCCATTACAACCCTAGCTGGCTTGCTCTGTGGTTTGATGTTGGCCCGAGGACTAAAGGGTCAAGGATTCAATTCTGGTTAAGGGCATGTATACCCAGGTCAGGGGTCTGGTGCATTCAAGAGGCAACCAGTCGATCTGTCTCTTTCACATCAATGTTTCTCTCTCTCTTTCTCTCCCCCTCTCTAAAAATCAATGGGAAAAATACCCTTCAGTGAGGATTAACCAAAGAAGCTTGACACTACAAATATGCCACACCTTGAACTTATCAACTGTTTTGCTTTTCTTTCAGTTTTCCCTCTTATTTTTCCTATCTTATCACTAAATCTCTGTTCAGTTTGCTTCTTAGAACTTGAAAGCAAAGGTGATTGTCAGCTTTCTGTCTTCCTATATCAACTTTTCTTGAACCAGTTGTAAATAATTGTTATTGCTGAAACAATAATTTAATTATCCTTCCTCTTTTCTAGTAACTGAACAGAAGTAGATAAGAATTT